CATTTTCACTGTTTGGGGGTGCATTGCTTCTCATGCTGGAAGGCTTGCCAGTTGGCCTTGTCTATTTTACATTTGGGGATGTGTTGTGGTATTTGGGCTCGACCAGCATCCAAGAGGGTAGTGACTGAGCCACAGTGATTACGTGATGGTTTCATTGACACACCATCAAACTCTCTCCACTATTGTTGCAGTGGCAAGACCACTCCCTTCACATGCGTTGGTACTTGGGTGTTGAGAAGAGCGACCTCAGGGAATGTATCAAGCACGACTGTGACAGATGTCTATGCATTTAAGTCTCCCCTATGATCGCTCGGTCTTGTGCTGCAATAGCACACACCCGGTTTAAATCTAACCTGCCACACACACTGCTTTGCTGTACACATTGTACAGTTTGAGGGGCCCCTGGCAGTTGTATCTTAACAGCAGGAGATTCCACGCCATCTCCACAGTGACGCAGGTTGGCTTTTGAGCATGGAATTGTTTTGACCAGGGTCATCAAGCCTCTAGTGCCATCCAAGCTTGGAGTGATGAAGATATGATATCCTAAGCGAACAGTACCCACCCATTGTTAATGTCTGCTGGAGCATGACGATGTCAATGTTCCTTGCTCACACTATTGATTGGAGAAATTTTTTCTGTTTGAGCTACATATGTTACACTCTGATATGCTTAGACTGAGTGCTTCCAAGTGGTATGGTAGTCTGGTTGAAGGTCTACCGGGAGATTTAGAGCCTAGGTTAGAGGTACCACTTTGAGTTAATGCAGACCTTGGCTGTAGTATGGGCATCCGCTGCACAGTTACAATCTGGCTCGGCAGACTAGCTGGAGCTCCACTGGGGGATGTGGAGCCCACATCTAATTTACCATTTGCACATATGTGAGTAAATGTAGACTTTGGCTGTACAGATTAGGCCTGTAGTGAGGGCCTGGGCAGTTATGATCTGGTTTGGCAGACTAACTGGGGCTCTACTGCAAGATATGGAGCCTGCAACTAATTTTTCATTTCCATGCATTCGAGTTGATGGAGCCTGGCCGTGCAGATTCGGCCTATAGTGAGGGCCTGGACTGCACAGTTGGAGTCTGATTTGTGGTGGTCACAGCCATTGGTTTGGAGGCTTCCATCTTCCTCCCCTTCATGGCCATAACAGTCTGGGTCATTGCCGTCATGGCGATCTGGACTGCCTTCTCCGCCTCCAAGCTAGTCCTCCCCAAGGCTGTCATTACTACAGTAAGTACAGCACTCAACAGGAGTCATGTCCTTTTCATCAAAGAAACTTCTCTCTTCCCATATATTAAAATGGTCTCTTTCTCAGGGTACATCCTGATTCCTCCTCAGGTTCTCAGTGGAGTGTACCTCACCCCTCTTGTAAACCACACCTGCCTTCCTCCGCTCCTGGAAGATCCAGTTGAAATATCAAGGTAAGAAGGTTGGGGAGTGGTATGGAGTGACTTGGTAATTGGCTCAGGCTTTCCAAAATTCTTATGTCTAGTAAATATACTATGCATGTTTGAGATAAGTGAATATGTACTTTGAAATTACTCAGTAAACGGACACACACATGCACATGTATATGTATGATTGTGTGTGTCTGTGTGTGTATTGCCTCTTATTCTTTATTCCTTGCGAATTAGTATTACTTCCATTTGCTTACTTTTACCGATAACTGGTAAGACCAAAACACATGTATTCCGCAGTGATTCGTGCAGTTATTTCGTCAATAACTCCTCCTCGGGCGAGGCAGAAGAGTTCCCGTGCACCGAGTGGGAATATGACACGTCAGTCTACACCAATACTCTCACCAGCGAGGTAAATAAGGGTGTAATTGGTCTCTTTCTACAACGATGATGTATACCATTTAAGGAAATCTAATATAATTTGAATATTTTTGATGCAAGTACCACATTCCATTGTTGTGGTGTATCTCCAGACTGAAATTCGCACAACACAGAGATGAAGGGGTGTCTGGTTGTTGCTATAACATTGGACCGCAGGTTACTCCTGATCACTGCTATAGTTTAGGTAATTCTTAATTACACAGAAAAGAGCTTCATTCTGAAGAGATTCAAGTATTGTATATACTGCCAGCTGTAAAAAAGTTATCTGGAGAAAAAGTTGCACAGCCACCCTAATACAGGAAGTGTACCCAAACTATTGAGATTATACTGTACAAAAGTAATGTATGACCAAATACATTTTTATCAATTCCGAAAGGAAAACTTTCATGGGTACTGAGAAACAATTATTGCAGTATGTATGAAAAGTATGAAAAGCTTTTGTCAAACACTATATGAAATGGTTGTCTACCAGATGAATGATGCTCGCCTATCATAATATGTATATTCTACAAACTAAAACATATATCATAATTCCCGTTCGAATGCCAGTGCACTACAGGGATTCAATGATATATATATATATATATATATATATATATATATATATATATATATATATATATATATGTTATCAAGAATTATTTATATGTACAACTTAGTAATCCGCGGTACAGTCAGACAGCACCGTCTCAACCCCCCTTCCTCTAGGTGTACCACGAAGTTCTATCTAGAAATATATGTAATGACGTTCTTGTTCTCGCAGTTCAACCTAGTGTGTGAGAGGAGCTACCTACGAGCCACTTATCAGAGTATTAACATGTTTGGTACAACATTTACCTGTTTGGCAAGCGGTTACATCGCCGACAGGTATCTAATTAAAATTCTTATTGATTCAGAAGTAATTATAGTAATAATAGCAATGATATGATTAATGATAATGGTAGTATGAATAATGATAACAATGATAAAATCGTAGTAACTAATAATGATGATAAATATAACAATAAGGGCAATGATAATAACGATGATCAAGTTGATAATGAGAACAATAAAAATAATTATAACAATAGTAATAGAAATAATAATAATGATGATAATAATGGCAATAATAACAATGATGCTAATAATAGTAGTAGTAATAGTAGTAGTAATGATGTTAATGATAATAAGCAAAATAATTATAATATGAATATTGATAATGATAATGATGATGATGGTGATAATAATGACGGTGATGATAATGATAATAATGATAGTGATAATGAGAATTATGATAATAATTATAACAAAAATATCTTTAAATGAAGACTAGGTATTTGAAGGTTTACAAATAACAAACATTTTGAATATGGAAAATATTTTTGAGAGAGAACAGTAATTGTCAACTAAACAGACAAATTCACACCTTATTTCTATTGAAGATTCGGCAGGAAGGCCGTGGTTCTGGTCACTCACCTGACCTATGCCACCCTTGGCTTCTGCATCAGCTTCGCCAGCAACTTCTCTCTGATCCTCGCTCTCCGGTTCATCATGGGATGCGTAGGACTCCCGACGATTTATATTCTAGGTAATGTTGACTTTCCAACCTTGCATTTTGAAGCTCTGGATTGAAGCAGTGGCTCTCGGGCTTCTCTGACTATTCGGTCATACAGTATAACATTGGTATAGATAAACGGTGTGTTATTGCATTATTCTTTCATACACAAGCACACACACACTGTAGCAGGAACAACGAAAAGAAGAACAAGAAAACGCACGAATATGCCGAAGGCCTTTTCGCTATTGCTTCTTCAGAGTATACATGACAAGAGGTTCAGTTCAGTTAGTTTTGCGAAGTCATGCTTCGCCCGGGCCTTTTCTCTGGAGTGGCCCGGCCTGTGTTAACTATTTCTAGTTAACTCAGATGTTTTCTTTGAACTGCATGCTTATCGCGGTGGCTGAATTGCGAGCAAGCGATCCAGCTGCCACGGGGTAAGCATGTTGCAGACCCTTTTTTACCAGCCCGGCGGCTGTGGTGGGTGGTCCCTGCCTCAGAAATTGTGTGTACACAATTCTGCGAGTAATGTAACAGGGTGGTGTTAGGCTCGCCGCAGTGTTTACATAACCTGGCAGTCTCATTATCAATAATTTGCCAAGCGCATTGGTAACCTAGTCTTAGTCTGAATAGTATGACTTCGGTACCTCTTTTTTGTGTTTGGAGGAAGGGCCAGTGGCTCATAGCCTGAAGCATCTGAGTACCACTTGGCAGTGAGCGATTTTGTGATGTTTTCTCTATGTGCTCCCCAGAGGACCGCACACGCTGCAGCTTTGGTACTTTGGCTCAGTCCCCTTCGGCTGGGTTTAACGATCATGGAGGATGGGGGCATACCCCTGCCCTTTTCAGCTAGTTTATCAGCAAGCTCGTTCCCTTGTATGCCTATGTGGCTTGGGACCCAGTTTATGATGATTCTTCTACCTTGACTAAGGATTCTTTGGGCTATGGTTAGCACTGTTGTCAAGAGGTATGTTGTCTGGGGGCATGCTATGCTGTAAGCTGTCAATAGTTGCTCTTGAATCTGTGTGAATGACAACGTGTCCTGCCCTTAGTGACGCGTGTGTCAGGGCTTCCATGATCGCAACCGTTTCAGCTTGAAGCGTTGAGGCATTGTCAGTGACCCTAATGGATGCTGTGGTATCCTTTGTTGCAAAGCCAGCGCCTGCAGCATGGTTTATTGGATCCACGGATCCGTCCGTGTAGTAAGTTATACTACCCGGCGTAGTATGTAGGAGGGATGACCCTTTGTGCTTGTGCTTAGGCTAGGCTTATATTGATCTTTTCTCATTGTGAGATTTAGAATGTTTCGTTTTTTGAGGGTTCTTGTGGGGGGGGGATACCCTTGGCAAGCAATGATTCTTTTAGCTGAAAGCGTATCAAAACTCTGGCTGTATGTGTGAGCCAGGAATTGTCTGCAAACAACTGGTAATCTTGTAGGCGTCTGAGAACTCTTTGTCTTAGATAGGAGTTTCTGGGTGCCTGCAGGACCTTGGAAAGGAACTGTGCTACCATTAGATCAATTCTGGTGTCCATGGACGGTAAATTAGTTTCCATGAGGAGGTTGATGACCTTTGTCCACTTAGGTGCACCTAGAATTATCCTGGCTGCTTCGTTTTGTATTGTTTCTAGTGTTTCTTTTAATGTTGTACTGGAAGCAATGAGGGCGACAGATGCATAGTCAATAATAGGACGGACAGCATGCACATAGAATGATCTTAGTACTTTGTGTCCTGCTCCTATGTGTCTCCCTGTCATGACTCCTGACTGAGTCCTTTTCTGTCTGTAGCAGGTATTGGATCTCCTTTTTGAAAGTGAGTGTGTCTCCTATCCATACACCAAGGTATAGTCCTTCACCCATTCCAGATCCATACCCTGTATAGTGAGTTTTTTGTTTCTGACACTATTTCTCAGAGCCATTGCTTTGGATTTTGCTGCTGCTATTTTCAGACCCGTCCTACAACACTCTTCAGACACCAGGTTCAGACAACGGTGAGCTCTAGTTAGGCAGTGATTGCCAGAGGCTATGATTGCCGTCATCTGCATAAGAGATGATCTTCCATCCCTCTGGCAGGTGAATGTCGAGTATGTTGGACATGAGAGTATTGAACAGGGTTGGACGAAGAACCCCTCCCTGAGGAGTTCCATTTTCAAGTGGCATGTGCTGTGAGAGGTGGCCTTGAAATCTGACATTTGCTGACCTATTATTAAAATAGTCAGCTATCCAGGCCAAGAGTCTGCCTTTGACTCCTTTGTGGATTAGGGTCTCTTGAATGGCAAGCGGACTTGCCAGTTCAAAAGCCTTCTCCAGGTCAAGGAAGACAACCACGGTGTGCGAGGTGCAGATTGTGCTTAAGAGTGTGGAAATGCTATGAATAGTGCTCTTACCCCTTGTGAACCCGTGCAGGTGTTCATGAGGGGGACCCGTCTTCCATCGGAGCCTGTTGAGTACCATCTTCTCAGCTGTTTTACCCAGGCAGCTGAGAAGAGAGATGGGACGGTACTTGCCAGGCTCCTTTGGTTTTGGGATGGGAACTATTGTGGCTTGTTTCCAGCTCTGGGGCACCGTGGCGGTTTGCCAGGACTTGTTGATAACCTGCAAGAATGCAAGTTCTCCTGCAAGGCCTAAATACGAAATGATGGGGTGGGAGATCCCGAAAGGAGACGACATGCATAACAAGACTCAAAGAATAATCATCCCTCACTCGGCATTGACTGAACACCTGGAGGCCCTAGTGGGCCACACTATAAAGATAACTATGTTGCCAGGCAAGAAGATTGGATATCGTAAGAAAAGAGGTCAAAGCACAACAGATCCCACAGCCAGGTGTACAGCATACCCTCTGGTGGTTGTGATAAAGTCTGCATAGGTGAGACAACACAAGGACTGCACGAAAAACGAATCAGCCAACACCGTAGCAATCTCCAACGTCATGACACGAGGAGCGCCTTGGTTGTTCACGTAGACACCGACGGTCACCTCCCGAAGTGGTCCCAGGCCTCCATCCCGAAACAAGTCCTGCCCCCACAACAAAGGAAGATGGTAGAAACGGCATTCATTCATACAACGAACTTCACGGGGTGCCACGAACTATCCAAGGTCGTCGCTCACCTGATTACCGACGTGACCTGACTACTTAACAGTATATATATTCCTCTATGTACCTCTTGTCATGTATACCCTGAAAAAGCAATAGCGAAAAGGCCTTCTGCATATTCGTGAGTTTTCTTCCCTTCGCTGCTCCTGTTGCAATTTGTTTGACATGAATTCACACACACATATATATCTATTTATATCTATATATGTATGTATATATACATAAAACTGCTGCTCACACACTAATTAGCTCAGGCAACTGAGTGACAGTTATGTGGAGTGGTGGTTGCGTCCCGAAACGTGCCGCTAGATTTTCAAGTCGTAGCCACATTTTGAGATTGTTTTATTTAATAGTTTTAAGAATATAAATCTATTTCATTTCCTAGTACAGATACACAGGGTTACAATATAAGTGGTATATGTTTCCATTAATATACCGTATATTACCTTCCGGTTGGGAGCCACTATATCAATGAATAATGATCAGGCTTGTGACATGCGAGTATTCTCTTCCAGCGCTGGAGGTTTGCGAAATCAAGCACCGATCCGTGGTGGGAATTCTGATTGGACTTCCTTGGGCCTTTGGTACCATGGCGTGGGGGGGAGTGGCTTCCCAGGTCAGAGACTGGCGGTGGCTGCAGCGCTGCGTTATCTTACCCTTCGCCCTCTATATTCCCTTGCTATTGTAAGTGGTGTTCGCCTCTGGAACAATAGATATTTTCATCTGTATCATTTTTGGTTTGTCTTGCAATGCAAAGATACCTTGATCTTAGGTGTAACCGTGTGTCTAGGCCTTTTTATTTGTAGCATCTCTAGAACCTACTTTATTCCACTTTGATACATCCTCAAACACGTTCATCCTTTATGTGTACATTGTTAGAAGCTGTTCAAACATCTCATTGGTTTGTATCCGTTTGTATGCTCTACTAAGATTAAATGACGCAATCACATTGCAATACTTTAGATGTATTTTACATAGTCTCAGATAGGGATTTAAGGGCTTGTAGCCCCCCCCCGAAACCATTTTGATATATTGATATATTGCATATTTTAGATGTATTTCACATAGTCTCAGATAGAGATTTAAGTGCTTGTTACAAATACATCAAATAAGTGTATTGACATACAGAGTTTTGAAAAAATGTTTTAGAAAATCAATAAGAAACTACCTTGGTACAATAATAAAATCCATTTACTTAAATTGGATCTTATTACTATCTTTGCCATTATCCTTTGAATATTTGTTTACTTTACCGACATATTCATTTTCTTTCAAAAAGTACATTTAAGAGTACACAAATGACTTATTCCAAAAAAGTACACCCTAACTTTAATCTTATGCCATATATCATTTAATTTTGCTATAGGAATTACTTTTGAAACGAAATCTGTTATTCTTATATCAATTTACTATACTGAAAGTGCCAAAATTATAGAACATATCTGAATATAACTGAATTAAGGACACAATAGATATATATATATATATATATATATATATATATATAATATATATATATATATATATATATATATATATATATATATATATATATTATATATATATATACATATATATATTTCAAGCACATTTAAGAGAACAGGGGTTTCATTATCATTTCATAAATAGCTATTGCAACAGCAAATCAAATTTGTAAACTAATCTGCAAAATGTATGTTCTCTTCAATTACAAAAGAATCATCCCTAACTTCTACAAAACCTTATATATTCTCTCCATCTTTATAAAGATAAAAAGTATATATGCAGATATACTATATAATCATTTAAACTTTGTAATTATCTGAGTCATATATATATATATATATATATATATATATATATATATATATATATATATATATATATATATTCATGCACAAGTGCTTGCATGCCTTCTCGCTTGCAGCTGCCACCGCTGGCTAGCCTAGTGCGAAAAAAAGGGAGCAGCTATGCATAAGCCTCCCCTGCCAGTGCATAGCATCAGCGAACTTCTGCAGTGCCTCCCTGTGGCCACCTATGTAAACTGGTACTTTGCAGTCCCAGGCTGAACTGTAGGGGATCTCGGAGCAGCAAGAGGCCCAGAGGTACAGGTTATGGCCCATCAGCATTAATATGCCCTGGCCTTGTACTAACTCCTGCCCCGAAGGTAGGCCTTGCCAGTCCTCCTCCCCCAGAGATAACCCATAGGCAATGTCTCATGTACTTGGTAATGCCAGGGGGAAGGAAAATGCCCCTCTTACCCGGCATGAGAGGTGGGCTGCGGGCCCCGCGGGGAAGGCAGCTGCCAGGATGTAGGATGGGAATGAGAACTACACGTCCCGCCTGCGTTCTGGCAGCTGCCAGCCTGAATGAAGTTTGTGGGGCAAAGCTCTAGCGAACCCCACAGGTGGATGTTGGGTCCTGCAGCCTACTACCCGTTTTATGTGGGGCAGTGTCGGCGGGGGTGGCAGAGGTGGTGTCCACCCAGAGTAGCTGCCTGAGGGGAACCTCAGTCGGGAAGTCAGGGTAGGGGCTTGGAACATCCACTGTTTGTGTCGGATGAACAGTTGCCTCTACTATCGCAGGAACTGGGGAGGTGAGTGGGGTGGCTGCTCTTTCGGAGGTGAGAAGACATGCAGCAGCACGTTAGTGTAGGTGGCTACACCTACTACTGGTCAAGCCGCAGTGAGACTGAAGTTAGTATGTGGCTTCATATCTCTTATTGCTGTGAAGGGTCCTACCAATGTTTGTAAACTCGACGTGACAGAGATGGTCTACGCCAAACTTGCATCTGTGGCAGACAGCTGTCCCCGGCAGTATCTTTGTATTGTCCTGGGTGACAATGCGGTATCTGGCTGTGATCGAGCTGGCTATGAAATGTCTGTCGGTCCTCATGGTACATAAGTTGATACCGGCAGCGAGAATAGCCTCCTTTTCCGGGACTTTGCAAGGTCCTAGAAACTGAGGATTTCTGGCTCATGGTACCAGCGCTCAGACCCACATCATTGGACATGGTAAACGATGCTGGTAATGAACCGTGTTCTGGGTACTGACCATACATAGGTTGTGGCTACCCTCCAAGTCCACTTCAAAACTCCCCAGCGGTCCAAAGATCACCCTAGAAGTGATTCATCTGAACGCTGAAGGAGTGTACTCAGGGGTTTGCTGCGTTGTTTCACAGCACTCGACAATCTGTCACACCCTGTCGTTCTGTGGGACACCTTCAAGCGCAAAATGGTTGATGCAGCCCAAGAGTCGATTGGTGAACTCCCGAAGACAATACAGAGTTTTATCTCACAGGAGACACTGGAAGCCTCAGATGCTTGCTGTGTGGCTCGTCTGACAGGGGATCAGGACTTGCACCATTCTCAGGTGTGTAGACCTCGGTCTCTGTTAAGAAGGGACAAGGAACAGTTTATTGGGAGTCTTGCTGAGGAGGTCAAGGCCATTTTTCAGTAAATGACCTTCGTCCTGCATACTAAGCTGAAGAGTGGCAAAGCAGCAGGTATTTGTTGCTTTCCAGCTGAACTGTTTAAAGTCTGGTGAACTTATTGCACATGGGTTACATGCTGTCCTGGCTGCCATCTGGCGGTCAGGTACTGTTCCCCTGACCTGTTGAGGGGTGTGGTCATCCCTCTCTGGAAGGGAAGGGGACGATGGGTCTGCAGCAATCACTAAGGCATCACACTGCTCAGTATACCAGGCAAGGTTCTTGCTCACATCCTTCTGAGACGTATCAGAGACCATCTACTGAGGCATCAGAGGCCGGGGCAATCTGGATTAACTCCTGGTAAGTCCACAATAGACCGTATCCTTGTGCTTCGAGTCATTACAGAACGCTGTCGTACTGAAAGTGCTGTGAAGTGTGGTGGGGGCCTGTCGAGCTTTTTTCCTGTTAGTTCAGGAGTGAGGCAAGGCTGTGTTTTTGCACCAACACTTTTCAATACTTGCATGGACTGGATACTGGGCAGAGCTATTGTTCAAAGTCATTGTAGAGCTACACTGGGCAATATCAAGGTTACAGACCTTGGCTTTGCCGATGGTGTTGCTATTCTGAGTCTTTGGAAACCTTAGGCTTTCGATGCAGTTAGTAATGAAGTGGAGCCTTGGGTCTGGAGGTCTCCTGGACCAAGACCAAGGTCCAGGACTTTGGGGACTTGCTAGGAGAACCTCATCAGTTGGTACGTGCTTCCAGTGAAGACATTGAAGTCACAGAGAGCTTTACATACCTTGGTAGTGCAGTTCATAACTCTGGGCAGTCAGACCAGGACGTCAGCAGACGGATTGGCCTGGCAGCAGGGGTCATGAACTCTCTTGACAGGAGTATTTGGAGATGCCAGTACCTGTACAGAAGGATGAAGCTATGGGTTTTCAAGACCCAGATAATGCCAGTTTTGCTATAGGGTAGTGAAACCTGGACATTATCCTGTGCCTTGGAGTCTCGTCTTGATGCTTTCTGTAATAGGCCCTTGCGCTGGATCATGGGGTACTGTTGGCGGGACCATGTGTCCAACCAATGGTTGCACTGTGAGACTGGCACAGGACCTGTTATCTGCACAATCTGTGATCGCCAACTCAAGCTATACGGCCACCTGGCTCGTTTCTCACAGGATGATCCTGCCCACCTGATTGTCTCTGCAAGAGACAATCCTGGGTGGAGGAGGCCTGTGGGACGACCTAGGAGGTCGTGGCTTGGGCAGATCAATCAAACGTAAGGAGCTCGAGAATGGAGTGGGGGGTGGAAACAAAGGGATGCGGCTATGTGCCCCCGTCGCGTTAGCCCCCTGATTGATGATATAAATCATATTTATATTTATTTATGGCCTTCTACACTTCAGCAGATTGCACTTACTAATAATTTTCATGTATACTATTACTGTGCTTATTTTCATTTATATTTTATGCTGTTTTCTAAGGAATCCTTAATTTGTGTATTTGTGAATTACAAAGCTCTGCATAAAGTGATATCACAGCCATGGCGCTTCAGCAAAGGCCATCTTCACAATTTTAGTGATATTTGTTTTCACTTTTTCTTATGTAAATATTCATTTGTGTGTGTTGTGCCGGCACAATAGAGTATTTCGCCAAAGAAAACACATATTTGCAAACATTTTTATGTATTATTGAATACGTAGTAACAAAAAAAAAAGCCCAGATCAACAATGTAAACAAACGACCGACACATTTGAGTCTGTCTCAAATTTTAGACTCAGCTTTGTCTGAGAACTTTCGTGGACATCGGCCCATATGCAGATGAACGTATGTACCTATATACCGCTGCGTTAAAAAATCTCTTCAACCCCCACTTAAGATTCTTGTGGCGTCCGCAGCATAATGGACGAGTCACCCCGCTGGCTGATCGTACGGGGGCAGTTCGACCGCGCCCGGAGGGTCCTGCAGAGAGCAGCTCGCTGGAACAAGACTCAGCTCCCGTCTGAGGAAGCCCTGAACAATCTCATGTTGGACATCAGGGGAGAGGTATATATGTATATATATATGAATATGTATATATATGCAAATACACACCACACACACACACACACACACACACACACACACACACACACACACACACATATATATATATATATGCATAATATATTTTTGTATGCGCGCGCGCGCACACACACACACACACACACACACACACACACACACACACACACACACACACACACACACACACACACACACACACACACACACACACATATATATAAACATACAAATATATATAATATATATATATATATATATTTATATATATATATATATATATATATATATATATATATATATATATATATATAATATATATATATATATATATATGTGTATATATATTATGTATATACATATATATGTACATATATATATATATATATATATATATATATATATATATATATATATATATGTATATATATATATATATATATATATAATATATATATATGTATATATATAAATATATATATATGTATATATATTATATATACATATATATATATATATATATATATATAATATATATATATATATATATTTTTATATATCTATGTATTTATGTATATATGTATATTTTTATACATGTATATGTCATGACATTAATGTATCTAAATCACTGTCCCTTTTACATGCAGTTGGTGGAACCAGAGAAGCCGGTGTTGAAAGAAAAACAAAACCGAAGGTGGACGTCTTTAAAAACACCAGTGCTCTGCAGGTAAGAAAGGGCAGAGGACCTAGTTTCTTTTGCCGAAAAAAAGCAAGGACGGGTGTACACTCTTTACTCGTATGCCTTTCAGAGGTACTGAAACCTGTGAAGAAGTTTACAATTCAGACTAGCATTCAAAATTATCTAAATTACTTGAAATTTAATTTGAAATTAGGACATAGATAGAGGACTGAAATAACGAAATGAGTGAACAGGTGAATAACTGAAAAAAGAGAATAGATTTGTAAATAGAAACTCAATGAACAGTTAGATAAATAGATGAATTGATAAATGAAGAAATCAATTAATGAATATGTGAAGAATGAATGACAACAAATGAAATCCTTTCTAAATCAAGCAAGACAAATAATACCAACCCGTTCTCCTCACAGAACTCGCTCCTTGCGCATCATCAACTTCATCTTCAGTCTCAACCACTTTCATCTCGAACTGGTCTTCTACGGGCTCAGCTCAGCGGCTCCAACTACAGCGCCGACCCTTCATCTACATCGTGCTCGGAGGCCTGATGGAGATCCCTGGATTCTCTTGAAGCGCCCATCATCAATCGCTTCGGAGGAAGTGGCCCACCATCTGGGGATACGTGCTCAGCGCATCGCCATCCTCTTACTCGTGTTCATCCCCCAGTAGGTTTTTGGACGGCTCTGGAAGCTCGCGTGTATGTACATGTATAACTCTGGAAATGTTATATCATTGTATGTGCGTACGAAAGTTGTGCATTTTTGTATATGAAAGATGGAATAATGCACTACCGCATTTTATATCATGAATATATTGACTCTCCAATCGGGATTTGATCCCTCACCACCGTTGCAGAGATTGAAAGACGGTCACTCTATCCACTAGGCCACCACCTACTAAAAGGAGTATTCAACCAGGCGCCACTAGCGCCATGGACATTACCTAACTACTCATAAATGAGCAGATCAATCTCCAAATCATATAACCTGACGTGTATTCAAATGATAATGCAGTAATGCACTACCGCATTTTATATCATGAATATACCCTCTCGATCGGGATATGATCTCTTACCACCGTTACTTTCCATAAGCCCCAATGCCCACAGGGAGTGTGTGTAAAATCTCACTATATTACTCATGTATGAGTAGTTAGGTAATGTCCATGCGCTAGGTGGCGCCTGGTTGCATACTCCTTTTAGTGGGTGGTGGCCTAGTGGATAGAGTGACCGTCTTTCAATCTTTGCAACAAGGCGGGGGCGGGATCGAATCCCGATTGGAGAGGTCTATATATTCATGATATAAAATGCGGTAGTGCATTACTTCATTATCATTTGAATACACCTCAGATTATCTGATTTGGAGTTTGATCTGCTCATTTATGAGAGTAGTTAGGTAATGTCCATGGCATTAGGTGGCGCCTGTTTGCATACTCCTTTTAGTGGGTGATGGTGTAGTGGATAGAGTGACCGTCTTGCAAAATCTTGCAACGGCGGTGAGGGATCGAATCCCGATCGGAGAGGTTAATATATTCATTCTTGTATATGTATATGCTCATCACTTAATACATATATAAAGACAACAATGCAAAGCATAATAAAATTCACTACTACTGACTCTTCTTTATCCTCCGAGACTAGGAACTGGTGATGACGCTGCAATGTTTGGGAAAACTCTGCAACAGCGGTGCTTTCATCATCAATCTTCGTGTACATAAACCGAGGTGCTGCCCACGGAAGTGTGCGGCTGCAGGGCGTGAGTGCCGCATCATGACGTGTCCAAAGTGGCGCCATGGGGTATAACCACCTACGTCACGACTATGTGGTGGGTCTGGCTTTCCGGGTTTCTGTAAGGGTCTATTGGGAGAGAAGAGAGAAGAGGAAAGAGCGATGGATAGACTCGCGAGATTGAGTGAAGGCAACTGCAATAGCTAGGAGCTTTGTATATGAGGGCATATATGAATATTGTAATAGTATATATTAGTATAAATATAAAATATAGTGAGTAGAAGTGAACTAGTATAAGGAAGCTAATAATATTGATAATATATAGCGAAACAAACATACACGGCACGAGCACAGGCACAGCACAACACAGCACACACAATACACACACACACACGTGTGTAGTGTGTACTGATGTGTGTGTATATAAATAATAAGGGAATATATAATAGATATAATATAGGGTAAAGGGTAAGTAGTGAGAAGTATATTATGAAACAGAAAAACAGTATATAAATTATATATAATAGGTTAAGTGTAATAATATATATGAGGATAAGGGTAGAAGAAGTAAAGTATAAAGTATAAAGTATATATATAGTATAAAAGGAGGGAGAAGAAGAGATAGATAGATAGAGAG